AAGCTAGTCATATGCTAGCAAGTGGATTCGATACTATGTTTCAACACAAAACCTTAAAGCATTGGGTTCAAGTGTGAAACCAAAACAAGAACAAGTCAAAGATGTTTTGTAATTTTTGTTCTAAAAATTGAAAACCAGATGAAGTTTTCAGAATTATATTTACAAAACATCACTTATCAAACGACACTTTTTGTATTTTCATTCTTAAAACTAAAAAACTGTTTTTCAAAACTGAAAGGTAATAGGCTCATTATTTTCTAAATTTAATTCTAAAAACTAAAAAACACTTTTAAAATATTTTTACAAAATAGTCCTTGTGAGATGAGTTTTTGTTTTTGTTTTTAATCAAAAAACTATTTTTGAAAACAGAATTCAAATATACCCGTAGTCTACTATTTTTAAATTATTCGAACTCATCTCATTCAATAGTCGATTAAGTTAATTTGTTTAGTTAAATAAACTTCAACTTAAAATTAGACTCGTTTGTACAAATGAACTAAGCTTTGTAACCTTGAAATTAATACTTTACGAATTACTCATATCAGTGTATACTCTATTTGAGAGCATTTCAAAGAAACTATTCTACCCATAAATTGAAAATTTAGAATTTCACTAATTCTTACAGATAACCAACAAAGATGAGAAAAAAGCAAGTGTTCCTCACGCTGTTGAATGTTGTTGAATAATAACACGTGCCTATTATATCAAGTATGTTAGGATAATCAGCTGAATAAATTGAGAATAAATGACTCAATAGCTTTCAATAGTTATGTAGATAATTCAAGAAGAGGTTCCTTTGTTAGAGGACGTGGACATGAAAAATCTGAATTCCTTTGGAAAAGGACATGGAGGCAACAACAAAATTTGTACTTTCTGTGGAAGGCGGAATCATACGGTTGATACCTGTTACCAAAAGCATGAATACCCTCCTGGGTTTAAATCCAAGAATGCTGCGAATTATACATCACATGCACCCGAGAATGATGAGCAACCTTTTGCTCCCACTGAAAATCAAGAAACAACTTGACCATTTCTCAAGAAGAATATCAAGCTCTCTTGAATGCAATGCAATCACCAGCAGACATGGAGACTCCCATTAGTTCCACGAATTTGGTGCAGACCACTTCCTTGAGTGTTTGCTCCCTCAATGAACCAGGTAAAATTTCCAGCAGATGGCTCCTTGATACAGGAGCCACTGACCGCATTAGTTTCTTACGTTCCATCTTTTCTCACCTACTAAAAATCGATCCAGTATGCATTCGTCTACCTGATGGAACACAATCCAAAGCTTTCTTTTCAGGCTCAATACATATTTCTTCAACCCTTATCTTACATGACGTGTTATATGTGCCTACTTTCCATGTGAATCTTAGAAAACTTATTAAAATCTTTTCTTATTACTTAACTTTTCGTGGATCTCACTATTTTGTTCAGCAGATCCATTCTGATGTGATGATTGGTATAGCTGATGAGGTTGGCGGATTATGTGATAAGGAAAACCAGCAACAACCCTTTACCTGATGCGAAGGATGTTCAACCTCTCTCCCAAGATATAGCCTTAAATACATCCTTACTTTCTAATGTTTCCATGAATAATAATGCCTCATTGTTATGGCATTTAAGATTAGGCCATGTATCTCATACCACTTTGAAACAATTGTCAATACAGTTCCCTTTTATTCCTTCAAACGATGTATCACCATGCGATATATGTCAACTTTCAAGGCAACATAAATTGCCTTATCCAGTTAGCAATAGTAGAAACAGTGCATCATTTCAATAATTCATGTGGATATATGGGGTCCATATTCAACACCTTCTATACACGAGCATAGATATTTTCTTACTATTGTTGAGAATTTTCCATATTTACTTGGGTCTTACTTCTTAAAAACAAAGGAGAAGCACATAAAGGACGTAAGGATTTCATTCTTATGGCAGAAAATCAACTCAACTCTGCTGTTAAATGTGTGCGTAGTGAAAATGGACCAGAGTTTGCAATGGATGAGTTCTATAAATCTAAAGGAATGCTGCACCAGACAACATGCATTGAAAATCCTCAACAAAACTGTACTGTTGAGAGAAAACATCAACACATTTTAAATGTGGCTATAGCACTTATGTTTCAATCCAATTTTCCCATGCAATTCTGCTCATATGCAATTCTATATGCCATTCATATCATTAACCATATGCCTACTCCCATTTTAAACAACCATACTCTATACGAAAGGCTTCGCCAGTGACCTCCTACCTTTCTTTATCTTAAAGTATTTGGGTGCCTCAGCTATACATATACTCTTAGTGCCCGTCGCAAGAAGTTTTCACCAAGAGCTTTAAAAGCAGCATTCCTTGGTTATCAAGAAGGAATAAAAGGCTACATTTTTTTTTTTTTTGACCTTGACTCTAGAAAAAATTTCATTCCATGAAATGTGATATTCTTTGAGACACATTTTCCCTCTCAGAAGCCAACTTCATCAACACCTCTCAACACAAGCCAAAACGTTGAACTAGATAATACCAATTCACCTGAACTCCCTTACACCAATGAGCCATAACTTCATCCTACAAACACTGATGTTGACTAACTCCCAAACAGCAACATTGCAATTGACCAACCTCAGCCTACACTACGTGATTCAAGAAGATCACAACGCATCAGGAGGGCACCTTCCTACTTACAAGAATATCAGTGTAATCTGTTTTCAACATCAACCATGCCATCACACTCAGGTACCCTATTTTCTCTTTCACCTAAAATTTTGTTTCCTCTTTCTGATGTTGTCACATATAATTCCTGTTCCCCTTCATGCAAAAACGTCTATTTAAATGCATCCCCAAATATAGAACCAAAAACCTATGCCTAGGCCTCAAAATTCGAATGTTGGCAGAAGGCAATGCAGAACGAAATTGCTGCACTTGAACTCAACAACACCTGGACTCTTGTTCACTTACCACCTGGAAAACAAAAGATGGGATGCAAGTGGGTATACAAAATAAAATATGCAGATAGTACAATTGATAGGCACAAAGCCCGTTTGGTCGCAAAAGAATACACACAAACTGAAAGTTTAGACTATTTAGACACTTTCAGTCCTGTTGCAAAGCTAACCACCGTTCGAATGCTTCTCTCTGTTGCTGCACCCATGAATTAGCACCTAGAACAACTTGACGTTAATAATGTCTTTCTCCATGGTGAGCTAAATGAGGAGGTCTACATGGAGCTACCTCCTGGAATTCCCTGTTCAGATCCCACAAAAATTTGTAAACTTCAAAAATCATTGTCTTGGCTTAAACAAACTAGTAGAGAATGGTACTCAAAGTTGTCCTCAGCCCTACTCTCCCTTAGGTATCAGCAATCAACTTCGAATCACTCTTTATTCACGAAACAACAGGGTTCAAACTTCACAGCCTTTCTTGTATATGTAGACGACATTGTGCTTACTGGCAATTGTATGGAAAAAATCAGACATGTAAAATCACACCTTGGTGAATAAAATCAAAGACTTGGTCTCTCTCAGATTTTTTCTTGGTCTGGAAGTCTCAAGGTCTTCGTCTGGTATCCTACTTAACCAGCGCAAATACTTATTGGAATTATTATCAGATAAAGGTTTACTAGCAACAAAACTTGTTTCTACTCCAATGGATCCCTCACTCAAGCTTCATCGTAACCTTGGTCAATCACTAGTAGACATCTCCTCATATCGCAGGCTCATTGGTCGACTCTTGTATCTCACTACAACTCGACCAGACATTAGCTTTTGTGTTCAGCAACTAAGCCAATACTTATCAGATCCAACAGATGTCCATCTATCGGCTGCTCATAGAGTTCTTAAGTATTTGAAGAATTCTCCAGCAAAAGGCTTGTTATTTTCCTCTTCAAGTACTCTTTAGCTCAGAGGTTTCACGGATGCTGACTGGGCTTGTTGCCCAGATACCAGAAGGAGTGTCACCGGATTTTGTATGTTTCTTGGTTCCTCACTCATTTCATGGAGATCCAAGAAACAAAACACGGTATCTAGTTCCTCCACCGAAGCTGAGTATAGAGCTCTAGCTACTGTGGCTCTCTTTTCTTCTAAAAGATTTTCGAATCACACGAGAAACCAGCTCCAGTCTTCTGCGATAATCGATCTTCTATCTACCTATCCCACGACCCTGCCTTTCATGAAAGATCAAAACATATTGAGCTTGACTGCCATATCACCCGTGAGAAGATCCAAGCAGGATTGATCCACCTCCTTCCAATATCCCCAGCTGAACAGACAGCGGACATCTTCACCAAAGCACTGTTACCTTCTCCATTCAACTTTCTCATTAGCAATCTTGGACTACTACATGTACGTTGTCCAGCTTTTGGGGGGGGGCAAGTGTTCCTCATGCTGCTGAATGCTGATAAATAATAACACATGCCTATTATATCAAGTCTGTTAGGATAATCAATTAGTCTGTTCAATTAGTTATTTTCCCTATCTTTATCTTTCCTTTTGTATATAAGCAGTAGTGTACAGAGTTCATCCTTAGTTCATCGTATCATCTATACAAAAGACTAGTTTTTTTTCTCTTAGTTTTAATGGAAATCTTGTATTATAATACTAATCTTTATTAGTTCTATGTTGATTGCAAAATTATGTTCAGACATTTACTGAGTGTCAATTTATTTAGGAATTCCTTTTTGTAATGACAGGAAGTTATGGATTATTTATGTAGTGAATTATGAATATAGAATTATATTTTACTTTCATTTGAACTTCATTTTCCAAGACAAAAATATCTGTTAAATATTAAATAAAGTTAAAAAATAAGTCAATAAAAACTTTGATAAAAAAAATAATTAAACTATAATCAAGTTGAACTCAAACTTTATAAATAAACAGAACTCAAACTTTAAATTCAGCTCGTTAAAATAAATAATCAAGTTTAAGCAAAATGCGAAATCGCTTGCCTATTTACACCCCAAATTACCTCAAACTTAGTACTGACAACTTAGTTAACGATATGTGGTGACAACTCAAAGCACTTAAAACCTCTTCGTAAAACATACAATGGTCGTCGTCGTCTGTAAGCACAATTTTGAAGTGCGTACGAATTTTATATATATCTAAAGGGATAACATGCAAGCAAAAAATAAAAGAAAAAAGTTGTGGTAAAAAAAACAGCAAAATAAGGAATGATGCCCGGGTAGGACTACAAATACATCAGACATAACATGTAACCAAAATGCGATTAAAATCCTTCTCAATAATCAAAACTTCATAACAGTAACAGAATCGAGAGAATCACTCAATGAAAATCAGGCTTCTCTGGGTACGTGCAGCCAGACCTTAGGATGATAACATTTGCAGCATAACACCCAGCTCTCACGCATTCTTCAATGGGCTTCTCCTGCACCAATTGTGAAAGAAATCCTCCAACAAATGCATCTCCTACAAAAACAAAAACAAAAGTATACTATCATTGTATCAAGTTAAGACAAACATTTTGGATAGACAAAATCGGCCTTTTGCTTGCCACTACCAAGATCTATTCCCGGAAAAGTCTTAGGAATCAGAAATAACATCACGACTTTTCCATGTTGCATAAATATGATATACTATTTAATACTTTTTTTTTTTTTGTACATAATATTCAACTATCAAAAGGAATAAGGCCGTACCTGCTCCATTTGTGTCAACTAATTTCTCTTTAGGTAATAGTATCACAGGGAACAATTTAACCTTCCCATCCTCAGCAACACACACAGGGTCTGCACCCTGTGTGATAACAGTAATCCTTTTGTGCGTACCTGATGCCTTTGGCCACTGGGAAATCTTTATAGCTATCTCCTCGACATTATCAGTCTAGTCAATAGGAGAAGAGTCAATACATAACAAATTACAATTTAAACAAAAACTACAAGCCTACAGATCTGCTAAGTAATGATTACCTCCCAGCCATGAACTTTAGAAAATGTTCTTGCTTCAGTCTCATTTCCAAATACAAAGTCCATATACCTGAATCCCAGAATGGACACCCTTAAGATCATTATGTAAAATTTTATTCATTTGAATTTAACAGAGAAGGATCCTTACGGCAGAGCTTTCTCCTGTGCGTCCTTGAAGAACTCACATATAAAGGGGGCAGAAAGGTTCATCATGAAGACCTGCATACAAGAATAAAATACTTAAGTATTAGAGACTGCTAGTAAAAAAGGAATGCCAAACTCTAAACATATCTAACCTTGTTATTTGCAGCTGCATGTTCAGCAACTAATAGTATGGATTCTGGAGATACAGTGAGGAAAAATCCAGCGATGTAGATATACTTGGCCTTTTCAACTAATTAAAAAAAAAATGTGCAATAACAAATGTCAGTCATATATATTTATACACACATATAATGAGATGGAAAGAGAGCCTGCATAGATCAATAGCGTACCTAATGCCCAATTTTCTGACCTCTTCAAATGCTCAGATTTATAGCAATTTGCAGCTGATAAGTTGGCAATAAGTGACCTATATTATGATGCAATCAAGTAGAAGGCTTCAAATTATTGTTTTGCAATCAAGAACAAATTAAGCTAAAGATGTATACTATTGAAAAACAGCATAAAACATAATTATGTTGAGTTGTTCAATAATTAAAAAAAAAACTTAAGGGAAGCTTAATCGTCTGACCTTTCACCACCAACCACACAAACAGCACAAGTTCCCGTAGGTGTATTTTCGTCTTCATAATAGTGAACCTGATTGTTATGATTAAGTTAACTTCAGAAACTGGATTCTAAGGTTCAGTACGGAGTAGCAGATGACAAAGAAAGGAGAAGACAAATAACAAGAATAAACATACATTTACACCAGCAAGTTTACAGTTCTTCTCCATCTCCTCCCCAAACTTGTCCTTTCCTATGCAACCCATGTAACTTGTGGCACCAGGCACTTGAAGCATCCACTGTTAAGAGGCAAAGGTAAATGATAAGTGACTTTCACCAGAACCACTCCAGATTCAGCTTACTACCTATAAAAGAAAGTACATACCTGAGCAACCCTGATTGAATTCTGAGTAGCACCTGCCAACAAAAAAAAAAAAAAAAAAAGTAAATAAATTATAGAAATCATCATTATGAAATGTGCACTCGACTTTTTATTTCCCTCTATTTTGCTGGCATGTTCGTGATATTACATAATCTGTAATAAAAAGTCCAAAAATTCGGATTTAGTGTATTACCTCCAGCAATGTACTCCACACTGTATTTGGCAGCCATTTCTTCGTACCTGAGACGATTGTACATATTAAGTCACAAAATATCTTGTCTTTTCAGAAAATATCCCAAAATTAAAATACTAGCTAAAAAAAATTTAGTGCGGAGAGACACCTAAAAATCTTTCCAGAACTGGAGGTTGAATGTCCAACCAAATATTACATCAAGATCTTAATTTACAAAATAAATTCCAAAAATATACACATTGAGTATTCAGTGAAAGAGATAGCTAAAACTTGAGATTTTCCATAATAAGATCCTAGCACACAGGATGGTCGGAGAGCATAACAATTAACAAAATAGTTTCATACATCACAAGGTCAAGAAGCACATCAATTTATCATGTTTATGAAATCCAACCTAATTCACTACGAACAAGAAATTCCTTTGTCTCATATGCTGAGACCATAAACGTTGATAGTTCAAATCCAACAACATTTGATTAAGTTAGAGACACGAAGAGAAGATCTTACATAGATTTGTGCTTATCCTCGGCGAGAATAGCGTTGTTCAACTTGATATCATATCTGCGACACAAATTGAGAACCAGAAGCGTGAGATCTGATCCGTGTTGTCTTATTTTTCAAAGAGTTATGAATCTAATCATGCAATAAACCTCTTCAACATTTTTATTCTTCGTTACAAGTTTACAACTACAGTGAGACTGATACACATAACAAATAATAATAATAATAATAAATAAATAAATAAATAAGAAAAAAAGAGAGAAAGATGTGAGTGAGGTACTTTTGTAAGAAGTCTTCGTCGACGACGGCAGAGATGTCGAGGAGAGGGTTACCCATGCCGAGGAGAATGCCTTCCGACGCCATTGATGGATGATGCGAGAAAGAAAGAGAAGAGAGAGAGAGAGAGAGAGAGAGAGAGAGAGAGAATTATTGTTAGATATTGAAGGAAGTGAAGTAGGTGTATATATATAATGAGCAATGAATGCGATGCAGATCTACCCAACTTCTTACAAGGTGCTTTCATTTTATCGGCACTTTCAGATTTATTATTATTATTATTAGACAGAGTTATTGTATTTTTCGTGAGTTAAAGAATAAACAGTGTATTGAAAAAGTGTAATATGCATTGTAAAAAAGTGTAATAATATTATTGTATGTGTATTATGTGTTGACAAAAAGAATTCTTATAAAGTAAACCTTTTGTTTTTAAATAAGTAAATAAAGAAGAAATGTATGTTCTTAAATTAATTTAAATTAAATACACTTTTATTTGTCTGTATTAATATCATCATCATCTTTAACCCAAATTAATTGGGGGTAGATAGACAGGTTATGAATCCAAATAAAAAGAAAAATAAATTTGAGAAAGATAAAAATAAATAAAAAATTTTATTTACCTATCATAAAAATAAATTATTTTGAAATGTATTTACTTTTAAAAAGGTATATAGTATTAATTTTTGTAAGTTTAACCTATATTATAAATAATTTTGTAACAAAAAAATTGTTAAGTTTATAATTTTTAATTACAAAAAAAGGTTACAATATTTTAATCAAAAAATAAAATCATAAAAAATCATAATATCATAATCTCTTTTACATGGAGTTGTCATTTTGTGTCCGCTAGCCTCACTACTCACCAGTCCCCATTCACCAACCAAGTTGGGGCCCGCAGCTGAAAAGTGTAAAATATATGGCACTCCACACCAAACCCTAGGCTGATATCGTCGGTCACCATTTTCTACCATTCTTTTGTTAAAAAATATTTGAAATTTTAAATAACACAACTTGTGTCATTTCATTCTCATAAAGAGATGAGATTCATATTTTTATATATTTTTGTTCATTCTCTTTTCTTCTTTATCTATCTCTTCCTCTCACATAAAATGACAGAACTTTATATCCTTTAAAATGATACACATGTTTCCTTGTTTTTTATCACTTAACTACTCAAAGTCCACCAACAACCACGAACATAAGGAAACAAAAAATTATATTTATTTTTTATTTGGATAAGAAAAATTCAAAATGAGAAAATGTTAGAATATTACAATAGCACTACGATAACACTTACCATTAACCTTCGGCTAAGAGACTTGCAACATCACCTACCACAAACCTAGAACTTGTTTAAACAGGATCGAATAAAAAAGTATAATAATAATAATTAGTAGCTTACCATTATGGATTTCTCCAGTGATCCAGGACCTTGTACGATAAGGGCTTGTGGGCTTGGGCCGGCCTTGCCTTCTATTTGACAGATAAATCGGAAGAAAAAAAGAGTCAAGGATGACAAGTGGTGTTACTCCATATTTACAAATAGATAGGGTAAAATTTCCCATATCTTCATAATAACTTCGAGCAAGGGAGAAATTACATAGCTTTTTTACTAGTTGGTTCATCCTTAAGCTGTCTTCCTTTTCCTCAAAGAAGAACTATTTAGATGAATGTTCCTCCCAAATCATTCAGCACTTATCAAAGTGAAAGCAATATGGTTGTTGATATATATAGCTTGTGAAATGTCATCAAGCATTATGATTCTAGTCGTGGCAGATAGGTAAAGAAATGTATATCCCTTCTTCGATTAACTTTTAAAGAAATCCCTTGTTTCAAGTAAAGATTTATGCCCCATAGGTGATAAATACTAAGTGGGGCTATAAATGCAGAAAAAACTGAGATCATTCTTCATAAATTTGTGTAATGTGGGAATCACTCAAACAACGAAAATTATAGCTTCCAAAAAATACATTTTCGTCACTCGCAAATTTAATTTTTTAATATAGTCCCACGCATGTTAACTTTCGTAATTTAGTTCTTTACCTTAATTTAGTCCCTTAGGTTCCTACCTCGATGTACTCCCTATTATAAATCAAAACTTGACAGACTGACTTGATTGGAATTTTATTTAGTGAAGGAATGAATTGTGAAGATTAACTTGTGGAAACTAAATTGAAAGAAAAATTTTTGTAACGCACTGAAACAGAATTCCCAACAATTCCGTTTCTAGGGCTAGGATATATTTGGGTTGGTTGAAAGGAATTGAACGAACGAAAAGCAACAATAATTGTCATTATTTAGATTATTTGAAAGAGTGAAACAGAACAAGGTGAAATCTATTCCATTACATACATATACTTTCTTCTCCCCAATTTGGGGGTATGAGATGGAATGAGACAGAACTAACTTACTATTCACTAATCTCCTAATCATTCCATCCAATTTCCAAACAAAAGAATGAAAATTTCCTTGCATCATAAAATATCCAAATAATTGTATCAAAAAAAAAATCCAAAGAATGATAGGGTAATTTTATTCCATTCTTCCATCCGTGATTTCGTATATAAATATAGCCCAAGATACACAAACGAGCCACAATTTTCAACAAGATTTTTTTTATAAATAAAGTAAGCAAACATCAGCCTGCACAAATCAGAAAGGTGATAAAGATGAACGAATGAAACATCATCTGGTACTTTTATTTAGCTATGTTATTGACAAAGAATACTAATATGGATTACCGAGGATTGTCAATAAATGCATATTTTGAAGGGTATGCCCCTCTCAATGCCATAAGACCGCAGTGAGCAGCGAAAATTCGAATGCTTGCCCATTCCTTATCTTTGGTTGTAATGTCACACACGTAGATGACATGTAGATGAGTTTTCCATTAAGCTGAGGTAATCCTATTCCTCTGGAAAAATTGGGGAAATAAAAGGAAATTGACTGAAAACAAAATCATAAGCAACAATTTCTTCATGGCTCCAAAGCATAACTTAAAGATGATCAATAATTGCATTTGTAAATTCAGATGTCTTTGAACTGCCACCAAGATCAGCAGTTCGGTACTTCCCTTCTGCAATTGTGCTGAGGATGGCATTTTGAATCTGGTCTGCTTTGTCATGGAGATTCAAATGGCGCAACATTGTAACAGCACTCAGCAGCAAAGCAGTTGGATTGGCCAAATTCTACACAAATTCCACAGAAAAAATTACTAATCAACAGAAATATAGCTCTAAAGTATAAAAGCGTGACCCAGGTTGCCACCCATTGGGGAGGATTAGATGTACGCAATCTTACTTCCAAAGAAAGGATGAATCCTCGAATAAAACCCATGACCACTAAGTCACCAGGCAACAACCTTATATAGCTCTAATATATGAGATAATTTTCTCGGGAAACCAAATTTGTAGTCCTGTTTCTTGAAAGGACTATTATTGAGAAACTCAAATTTTCAAGAAAGATGTTTAATTAATTGAGCCAAAAAAGTTATTACCTAGAACTTCCCATTTCTTTTGTTTTTTTGGTAAGTGAACTTTCCATTTTTTTGGGAAAGATAAACTGCAAGAGGATTACTACAAAGACCAAAAAAGCCTACACATATCCCAATGACCTAATAATGATTGAATCCATGAATACCTATAAGCAAATACACCTCCACCAAAGTTGACTTCCTAATCACACAAGCAATGTCCAATGTCCAATTATAATTTGTCAACATTAATTAAGAGAGAAATAGACACAAAAATTTCACATGACCCTTTTATATGAAATTTAACATGAGAGAAAGGATCCACTATGATACACATTGCTTTACTGAACTGGGCCAACCAGAGGAGGAGAATGATCAAGTGGTTATTGGGCTGGAGCAACATCAATTGGGTCATCATATCAGTCCCAAGACCAGGTGGACCAAGAGACTGATCAAGTGGTTATTGGGCTGGAGCAACATCAATTGGGTCATCATATCAGTCCCAAGACCAGGTGGACCAAGAGGAATAGATCCCAGCCCAAGTGGATGAGTGATTTTTATCATATGAGCAGTGTGCGTGAGATGAGAGCAGTGGCTTATTAGGCTCTTAGGTGGTTATGCTTTTTTGTATTTGTTTCTGTTATCAGAATCTATTATGAGATTCTAAGGTGATGCTTGTGTGCGCGCTTTTATTTTTTAGCTTGTCTTTCTGTTACTGATAGGAACTTTGTTGTATAAAGACCCTGTTTTACAATGAATGAAAAAGGGGAATATTTTGGCTAACCGTGTGTTAGAGGAGGTACTCTCCCTCGAAGAGAGGTATTTTCATGTTTTTGTTTCTGTTCATTTTTCTTTCTTAACAATTGGCGCTTTCATTGAGTCTTGAACACCATGCTTTCATCCTTGATCTCACCCTCCATGACGCCTACCTTCATCAACGACGCTCACCAGCAATCAGTTCAATCTATTTTTGCGAAGATGAAATCTAATTTTGCAGCGATGAACGCCACATGTGAGATCATGATACAGATGCTCCAGAACTTGATCCATGAATGTAAAGAACAAGTTGCTATCAAAATTCAGAAGGCTTTTCGCAAGTATTCGTTGAAGCTAACCATTTGCCGATCTGAATCAATTGACCAACACGAGTTGCCTCAGACAGAGGTGGAACACCCGATTGCTGAATCGTTGAACAGTCGAGAAATGTTTCGTGAATTTGCGGATGCATCTCCTTTGGATCAAGTTGCTTGTGTTGAAGTCGGTGCATATCCAGAGATCGAAGCCTCACTGCTGCTCTATGCGGCAGTGCTGTCTTCATTACCCTCTCCAGTCAGTAACGATGTCATCAAGAAGCCCGTATCTGGAGAAGCTATTCTTCTACCAAAAACAAGACGTTCCGTACCTCATGTGACTTCACCGTCGTTAATTTTCCATATGCTCTTCTCTTTTGGGTGGGGTTTGACATTGATTCCACTGGTCCTCCGTGGCTCTATGGTGATCCTCTGGGGTTCGATATTCTTCACTTGAATGCACAACCTCATGCCCTCGCATTGTTGATTGATTCATTCTTCCCTGAGTTGTGTGGCATTAGTGTGCGGATCAATATGGATGTGAATATCTATGGAATTTTTAATTTTGTGTGCATGATGTTTGATGAAAGGCGTGAACGACAACCTATGGTTCATGCCAGCTGGTATACAATCTCCTCTGTTACCATTAGCCCATAGTCATCTGCCATAGATCATACAATTTCTCCAATTGCTGATGTTCTCCAAGTTCCTCTTCTTTCATATGCTGCCACTACTCCAACCCTGTCTTCCCTCCAGTTTCCCTTCTTTTTACGGACTACATAACGTGACTCAGAGCAAATGACTGCACTGCCTGAATTAATTGAATTTAATGGATGGAAAGAGGACATTGTTATATTCTTGTATGATGATTATGGAAGAAATAGAATATCTGCTTTAGGTGATGAACTTGAAAAGGGGAGATTGAAAATGGCTTATAAACTACCTTTGAGTGTTCATTTTGATCTGGATGAGATCACTAACTTGCTCAATCAATCCAAACTGTTTGGTCCTCGTGTGTATGTTCTTCATGTCATCTGGGAAGTATACCCATTTAACCACAAACAATTATGGAAAGAGAAGTTTGACAGATTTGATTTCACATTGATTTTTCTATTCCTACTCGATGTTGGAAATTCATCTATCGACCATAGCCAATTTTTTTCAGAAATTTTTTCACATATGCATAGCTATTTTAATTGGATGAAAAACTTCATTAGATGGATCATATGGGGTCAGAATGGAGGAGCTTTTATTTTTTTCAGCCACTCAATTGCTCCTGCTTTACTCCTATTCAAGCATGGCCAAGATGGTGATGTGCTTCATGCTGTCTTGATGGGTTTAAAAATGGCCATTGTCAAGGAAGGTGTGATGGGAGGATCATATGCAAATACCCATATTAAATTGCCTTACTCTCTGCAAGCTCTGGGAATAGAAATAATTATTTGTTTCGGAATTAGGTTGGGACATGAAAGGGTGCAAGTTGGCTCTTCAAACAGCATAGTATCTGCAAAGGATAATTTTAATGTCATTATATTATTCCTTAGATTTATTTTCCCTCTTGGTGGTACAATGTTTCCAGAAGGAGCAGAGCAATATATTAAAAAACTTGGTCAATACATTTCAATAAATGGAGGTGTTCTGAGGACTGCTCTTGACATGGGTTGTGGGGTTGCTAGTTTTGGAGGATATTTCCCATCTCAAAATATTTTAACAATATCTTTTGCTCCAAGAGATTCACATAAATCACAAATACAATTTGCCTTGGAAGGAGGAATACCAGCACTCGTAAAGTCCTATTTCCCGCATTTGGATTTGGCTTAGCTCATTCTTCTCGGTGTTTGATTTGGAAGAATGGGATGATTCCCAAGTGGCCAGAGAGGACGAGAGTTTTGTAATAGCATTGAGATCATAATCAGTCCTTCTCTTATGTTTCTTGATGAACCAACTTCTGGTTTGGATTCTACAACAGCCATGAGGAAAGTTCAGATGCTACATGATATAGCAGCGGCTGGTAAAATCGTAGTGACAACAATCCATCAGCCATCAAGCAGAATCTTCCATAAATTTGATAAGTTGATCCTTCTAGGAAAAGGGAGCTTGCTTTGCTTTGGAAAAGCATCTGAAGCAATGGACTACTTCCAATTTATTGGGTGCATACCTCTTATTGCCATGAATCCAACAAAGTTTTTATTATACCTGGCAAATGGCAACATAAATGATACTTTGTTCCATCGTTCCATCAGAGTTAGAGGTTAAAATGCAGGTGGGAAATGCAGAAGCTGAAACACTTAATGGGAAACCATCAGCTGCAATTGTACGAGAGTATCTGGTAGAGGCATATGAGACTAGAGTTGCAGAAATAGAGAAGAAAAATTTTGAACCATTGCTTGGTTTAGGAGATACTCTCATGGAAGTCCTTGGATTTTTTTTTGGTTTCAAACAGCATCTAGGGGTCAAGAGTCTCTGGGAAGGTTTGTATCTGGAAGATTCTTCTTGGAAGTAGTTAAATGTAAAAGAATACGTTGTGTATTGATCTGTGTCAGGGAGTTACAATATATAGAGACCCTAATGGGCTTAAGTGTAAGGCCCAAACCTAATCCAAACCTAATCCTAATACAGTCAGAATACAGTCAGACTATTTACGGATAAGACAGAATCCAATCATATCTAATCAAATCTAATCATATCATATCTAATATTCTAACACTCCCTCTCAAGCTGGTGCGTATATATTATAAGCACCAAGCTTGTTACAAATGTATTCAACCCGAGGACCTCTAAGAGCTTTAGTGAAAACATCTGCTAGTTGATTAGACGAGTTGACAAAAGCTGTCTTGATTTCTCCTGACTGAATCTTTTCCCGAATGAAGTGACAATCAATCTCTATATGTTTGGTCCTCTCATGAAAAACAGGATTAGAGGATATATGTAGCGCAGCTTGATTATCACAGATGAGTGTCATGGGTTGTTTCTGTTCACAAAGATGAAGCTCTTGAATCAACTGCTTTAACCAGATCAACTCACAGGTAGTATTTGCCATTGCACGATACTCAGCTTCTGCACTAGATCGGGAAACAACAGGTTGTTTCTTGCTTTTCCATGAGATTAAGTTTCCTCCGAAGAAGACACAATAACCAGAAGTAGAGCGTCTGTCCGAGGGTGATCCTGCCCAATCGGCATCTGAGTAACCACAAATTTCTGTATTTCCCTGATCCGAATACAACAAACCTTTTCCTGGTGCTCCTTTGATGTATCGGATGATCCTCACAGCAGCATCCCAATGTGAATCACAAGGGGAATCAAGGAACTGACTGGCCGTACTGACAGCGAAAGAAATATCTGGCCTAGTCACAGTAAGATAATTGAGCTTCCCAATCAGCCTTCGATAACGTTCAGGATCAGATAACGGCTCCCCCTGTCTGGGCAATAACTTAACATTAGGATCCATGGGTGTATCAACTGGTTTACACCCCAACATACCAGTCTCCTCTAGGATATCCAAGGCATACTTCCTTTGACAGATAGAAATGCCCTGTCTAGATTGCGCCACCTCAATTCCCAAGAAGTAACGCAGCTTCCCAAGGTCCTTTGTTTGAAATGCACTGAATAAATGTTGTTTTAACTGATGGATTCCGTCTTGATCACT